TCTGGGTCGTGTTCGGCACGTATCCACTGGGACGCACCCGATGATGATGATGATGATGATGATGATGATGATGATGATGATGATGATGATGATGATGTTGATGATGATGATGACGAGGTCGGGGGCAACGTAGGGAGCGGGGGGAGGGCCCGCGCCAAGGCGAGAAACAATATACGCAGAAGAGACAACCAGGACGCCTCACCAACCACGAGGGCGACGGTGAGAGTTTTTTCCAGATTCGCCCAGTGGATTCTCATGCGGGGATCTTCCGCCGGAGTAATTTTTACGTGTGCCCACATGCCACAACAACAGACACACACACGCAAACACAAGCACTGCAGTAGCACACACACACCACGTGTTGTTTGTACGTGTGGTTGTTACGTGTTGTGTTTACGTGTTGTTTTACGCGCGCGCACACACATCACAACAACACACGCAAAAACAACCACAAACACTACAGCAACACACGCACACACCACGCATTGTTTTTACGTGTTTTTATGTGTTGTTGTTACGTGTTGTTTTTTCGTGTATACACACCACAACAACTCACACAAACACAAACACCAACACGACATCAACACACACACACACCACGTGTCGTTTTTTACGTGCTGTGTTTACTTGTTGTATTAAACGTTTTGTTTATACGTGTTGTTTTAACGTGTTGCGTTACGCGTTGTTTTCACTTGTTGTTTTCACGTGTGTACACACCACGACAGCACACACACAACCATTACAGTAACACACACACACCACGTAGTATTTGTACGTGTTGATTTTACGTGTTGTGTTTACGTGTTGTTGTGTTGTACGTGTTGTTCACGTGTTGTTTTACGTGCTGTTTTTTACGTGCGCACACACCACAACAACACACAAACATAATCACAAACACTACAGTAACACACACACACCACGTATTGTTTCTACGTGCCGGTTTGAACGCGTTGTTTTTACGTGTTGTTTGTATGTGGTGTTTGCACGTGTTGTTTTTACGTGTTGTTGTTCCGTGTTGTTGTTACGTGTACACACACAACAACACACGCAAACACACACACACACAAACATTACAGTAATGCACACACCACGTATTGTTTCTACGTGTTGTGTTTACGTGTTGTTTTACGTATTGTTTTTACGTGTGTGTTGGTTTTTTTCGTGCACACGCACCACATTTGCACACAAGCACACACACACACCCTATTGTAACATACGCACACGCCACTTGTGTTACGTGTTGCGTTTACGTGTTGTTGTTTCGTGTTGTTTTTGTTTTACGTTGTGTGTTCACGTGTTGTTTTACGTGTTTTGTTCTACGTGTTGGTTTTACGTGTACACACCACGATAACACACAAACGCAAACACACACACACATACACACTACACCAACACACGCACACGCCACGTGTTGTTTTTACGTGTTGTGTTTACGTGTTGTTTTTTTTACGTGTTGTGTTCACGTAGTGTTCTTACGTGTTGTTTGTACGTGTTGACGTTACGTGTTGTTTTTACGTGTTGGTGTTACGTGTTTTTTGTATAAAGAAATAAAACAATAAAAAAAACGCGTTGTCTTACGTGTTGCGTGCGCACCACATCAACACACAAACACAAACCCAAACACTGCATCAACACACACAAAGCACGTGTTGTTTGTACGTGATGTTTCCACCTGCTGTTTTTGTGTACGTGTTGTTTGTACATGTTGTTTGGACGTGTTGTTTCCACGTGTTGTTTTTACGTGTTGCTTTTACGTGTTGTGTTTGTCCCACGTGTACGTGTTGTTTTTACGTGTTGTGTTTACGTGTTTTTTTTTCTCATGGTTTGACCTAGTCTTCACGGTGGAGGTCCCGACTGGGCCACGAATCGCTGTACTGGGTGTGGGAGACGCATGCGGGCTGCGCCATTGGGACCTTTTGTGGAGTTCCCTGTGGGGCCACGAATCGCTGTGCTGGACGTGGGGGACCCACGCGGGGACCTTAGGTGGAGCTCCCTATGGGGCCACGAAGCGCTGTACTGGGTCTGGGAGACGCATGTGGGCTGCGCCTCTGGGACCGTCGGTGGAGCTCCCTATGTGGCCACGAAGCGCTGTACTGGGCCTGGGAGGCGCATGCGGGCGGCGCCACTGGAACGTTCGGTGGAGCTCCCTATGAGGCCACGAAGCGCTGTACTGGGCCTGGGAGGCGCATGCGGACTGCGCCACTGGGATCTTCGGAGCTCCCGATGGGGCCACGAAGCGCTGTGCTGGGTGTGGGAGACGCATGCGGGCTGCGCCACTGGGGCCCTCGGTGGAGCTCCCTATGGGGCCACGAAACGTGTGAGGGGGGTGACGGGAGGAGGGAGGAGGGGGGGAGGAGAGGAGAGGAAGAGAGGAGAGGAGGAGGAGGAGGAGAAGGAGGACCACGGGGCGTTGTCTCTTCAAATCGAGGACCCACCACCACTGGATGGTTGGGACATATGTTTTAGCGTTCTCGCTTTTTCGGGCTTCCGACGGCCTGGAAGGCCCCCAAGAGACCCGCAAGACGGCCCAAGAGGGTCCCAAGGCAGCCCAACAGGCTCCCAAGACGCCCCCAAGACGGTCCCAGAGACCTCCAAGACGGCACTCAAGCGCCCAAAGAGAGCTCTGCGATTGCCCAGGAAGGATCCAAGACGGCTTCCGAAGGCCAGGGGGCCCCCAACAAGCCCCCAAGAGGTTTCTCAAGAGGCCCCAGGGGACCCCACGAGGCGCCAGAAGGCCCCCCAAATGCTCATTAGAGCCCCCCAAAAAGGCTCCCAGGAAGTCCCCAAGAGCCCCAAGAGGGTTTCAAGAGGCCTCCTCTTCCTCCTCCGCCTTCTCTCCTCCTCCTTTCTCGTCCTCTCCCCAGTGTTCCTCCAAGGGGTTCACAACGGCTGGGGGAACACATAGTCCAATAGCTTGGCTTGACTTCGGCCCAACGTTCAGCCAATGGGGTCCGTAATGAGCCATTTTGGCTTCAAGACGCGCACGCTACCCGCACCCCAGCGCCTCCCCGCGCGCCTCTTCGCAGCCACCTCCGCCGCGATGTCCGGGCCCGACGCGCGCGTCGGCGTGGCGCTCGTGGGGCTCGGGCGGGCCGGCCACTTCCACATGACCTCCCTCGCCGGCATCCCCGATCGGGCGCGGCTCGCGTGGGTCGTGGATGTGGACGGGGCCCGGGCCGAGGGCATCGCCGCGCGGCAAGGCTGCAAATGGGCCACATCCCTGGCGCCCGCCCTGGCTGATCCCGGCGTGCAGGTTGTGGTCGTGGCGTCGACAACGGACACCCACTTCCCCTTCATCATGGAGGCGCTGACCGCCAACAAGTCGGTGCTCACGGAGAAGCCCATCTCCCACGAGCTGAAGGAAGTGGAGGAGGCGGTGCAGCTGGCAACAAGCAAGAACCTGCCTCTGTACTGTGGCTACCAGAGGCGTTGTGACAACAATTTCCGAGTGCTCAAGAAGCACGTGGAAGACGGCTCCGTGGGCGATCTCAAGGTGGTCAAGTGCTGCAGCAGGGACAACCCTGTGCCGCCAATGGATTACTTGCGCACCAGCGGAGGCATCTTCCACGACATGCTGATCCACGATTTCGATATGCTCAACTGGCTCAGCGGGGGCCAGGAGCCAGAGTCCGTGATGTCTGTGGGCCACGCCTACAACAAGGAGATCGAGGAGATGGGTGACATCGACACAGTCGCCGTGACGCTAAAGTACCCCAGTGGCCTCATTGCAATGGTGGACACGTGCCGCGACGCCTCGTACGGCTACGACCAGCGCATCGAGGCGTTTGGCGCCAAGGGCATGCTGACGGCGAAGAACGTGCTCACCAGCACCGTGGAGCTGGCCACTTCCGAAGGCCACCTAATGCCTTGTGCGCAGTGGAGCTTTCCTCAGCGATACAAGGAGGCGTACACCACCGAGCTCAATGAGTTCATCACGATGGTGCGTGCAGGGGTCAACAGCGAGCACCACCGCCTTGAGCAAGAGGCGATGTCGCGCCACCCGAGCATCGTGCGCACCACGATCGCCGCCGAGCTGTCGTGGAAGCTCGGCCGCTCTGTCGACTTGAAGGACTTGGATGGGCTGCTTCTCGAGAGCGAAAAAGGTCCCGAGTCTGACACGCGCAGCACCTGCGACTCGTGCCCCAGCTTGGAGAACCACAGCTCTGACGATGGCAAGAATATGTTCGGGGACACGTTCCGTAACTACGAGGACTCTTGCCGGCAGGAGGAGGTGGCAAGGACGTACAACATCATGCACACCAAGCAGACGGTGGATTTCGGGCGACAGCAGCGTGACCGCTGGCTGAGGTTCCAGAAGGGGGAGTTCACCGTGATGGAAGTCATCGAGATGCTCGACGACCTCGTCGACGATTCTGATCCCGACGTGGACCTTCCGAACAGCATTCACGACTTCCAGACGGCGGAGCGCATCCGTGCCCAGTGGCCTGACCACGACTGGTTCCACCTGGTGGGGCTGCTGCACGACCTCGGGAAGGTCATGGCGCTGCCGAAGTTCGCCGGGGACTGGGCCCTGGAGCAGTGGGCCGTCGTCGGCGACACCTTCCCGGTGGGGTGCGCCCCTGACATGGATGCCGTCGTATTCCCCGAGTCTTTCAAGCAGAACCCCGACTACAACCATCCGGTGTACGGGACGCAGAACGGCATCTACGAGCCAGGCTGCGGCATCTCCAGCCTGATGTTCTCCTGGGGCCACGATGAGTACATGTATCAGATGCTCAAGTTCAACGGCTGCACCATCCCCGAGGAGGGTCTCAACATGATTCGGCTTCACTCGTGCTACCCGTGGCACGACAAGCGCGCTTACAAGCACTTCGAGGCCCCGGAGGACACGGAGACGCTTCGCTGGGTGAAGGAGTTCAACAAGTTCGATCTGTACTCCAAAGGCGACGCAGTCCCCGATGTCGAGGCATTGAAGCCCTACTACGAGTCTCTGCTCGCCAAGTACGGCATCAGCGGTAAGTTGCGGTGGTGAAGCGAGAATGGTGCGTCAGGAGGGCCAGGTTGGCCCTCAGCCCTTTGCCATCTTGGACGCTTTCTGTGGATGGCGGGAAGGAGGAATCAGCTGTGTTCAGAGGAGGAGCAGATGGAGTTTCATCGTGGGGATCGAAGGGGAACAATCAGCGGCGCGAAAAGTGCCCTTCCTGATCAGTTCAGGGGGTTCGCGCTTTCGCGTCAGGCTCCACAGCGCCGTTTTGTTGCGCTCTGCTCCGCACAGGGCCTGCTCAGAAATGTGCTCTTTTATTTCTTTGACCAGCACTTTAAGTAGCCCTTTCAATGGTATCCCCGCTGGATAGCCGGGTCTTACTCGGTCTGCCGTCACGCGTCGAAGGCGCGAGATTGTTTACAGAGCGCCCTACCTTTGACATTTGAAGCCATCGTGGGTGCTGGTGCTTGACCACCGCAGGACCTTCGAGTCAAGGCGAGACGTGATTCTCGCAGCGACTCCCTGCTCTGGGTGCACTCTCAGGTCATTCGCAGGCGGCCAGCAGGGCGCATTTGGATTCAAAGCGATCGTGGCCCCTGGAGGGTGTTGCAGAGCTTTGATTAGCGCCGTTCCTAGCCCCCACAGACACTTGGCATTCTCGACTTGGCCGTGGCAAAATTTTAGTTTGGCCGTGTCAGACCCCCGGGCCGCGAGAGGATGCTTCTTGAAATAGCCGTGCGCAGTACGAATCTGTCCCGAAGAGCTTTTTCGAAGCTGCCTCTCGACGGCCCGGGCGTGCGCAAGGCACACGGCATTGCCTCGGTTATCGGAGGAGTCGCCGCGGCATCAGGGGGGAGTTTTTTGTTGCGTTTTCTTGATTTTCCGAATTGGAGTCTGGCTGTCTCCAGGGGGGAGTGTCATTCTCTGGCAGTTCTCGTCGCTGGAGAGAGGAGTCAGGTCTTGGAGGTAGCGCCGATGCGAGAACTGCCCGCTGGCACTCCCTCGCTGTCGAGACCGGACGTTTGCAAGGTGCGGTGCGACTCACGGGGCTGTCGAGGCTCTCATCCAGCGCGCGTGAGCAGCAGCCAGCACTCAAGAAGGGAAGCTGAAGCGGAACATGTCTTGATGTCTAATGTGCGCTCGTGTTGCTGCTCACGCGCAGCCCAGGGTGGTGCCGAGACCGACTGTCACATCGCATGCTCCGTGCGAGCTCCAGTTGCACGCAGTGCATACATATTCTCTGGCACGAAGTAGGCCCCAGGGGATAACAATGTGATGACGCAGGTTCGACGTGGCTCATTCTGCCATTCAAAGAACAGTTTGCCCACACTGCCGGACTGTGCGTGAGGGAGGAAAATAGAGGAGGAAGATGAGGAGGAGGAGGAGACCTCTTGGGAGCCTCTTGGGTCATTATTGGGGGCCTCCTGGGAGCTTCCGGGGGCCTCTCGGAGGCCTCTTGGGGGCCTCCTAGGGCCTCTTTGGGGAGGAGGAGGAGGCGGGGGAGCAGGAGGAGCAGGAGGAGGAGGGGAAGAAGGAGGCGAAGGAGCAGGAGGAGGAGGAGGAGGAGGAGGAGGAGGAGGAGGAGGAGGAGGAGGGGGATGAGCAGGAGGAGCAGGAGGAGGAGGAGGAGGAGGAGGAGAAGGGGGAGGGGGAAGAGCAGGAGGAGCACGGGGAGGAGGAGGAGGAGGAGGAGGAGGAGGGGGAGGGGAAAGAGGAGGAGGAGCAGGAGGAGGAGGAGGAGGAGGAGAAAGAGGAGGAGGAGGAGGAATAGGAGGAGGAGGAGGAAGAGGAGGAGGAGGAGGGAGGGTTGAGACACACATACGCACACACACGCACAGAAACAACACGTCAAAACAACGCGCAACAACAACGCGTAACAACACGTAACACCAACACGTAAACAACAACACGTATAACAGCGCGTAAAACAATTCGTGGTGTGTGTGTGTGTTATTGTAGCGTTTGCGTTTGTGTTGTTTGCGTGCGTTGTTGTAATATGTACACACGTAAAAAAGAACACGTACAACCAACGCGTAGTGTGTGTGTGTTGTAGTGTTTGCGTTTGTGTTTGCGTGTGTTGTTGTGGTGTGCACACGTAAAACAACACGTTCAAACAACACGTAAAACACGTACCACCAACACGTAACAGCAACACCACGTAACACCAGTACGTAAAACAGTACGTAACACACCATACGTAACGACAGCATGTGGTGTGTGTGTTATTGTAGTGGTTGTGTTTGTATGTGTGTGGTGTGTATACACGTAAAACAACACGTACAACAAACGTAAAAGCACGTGGTTTGTGTGTGGTGTTGTAGTGTTCGTGGTTGTGTTTGCGCGTGCTGTTGTGGTGCGTGCACGTACAAACAACAACTAGACCAACACGTAAAAAACAACATGTGGTGTGTGTGGTATTGTAGTGTTTGTGTGTGTGTGTTGTTGTGGTGTGTTTACACGTCATAACAAGACGTAACAAACAACACGTACAACCAACGCGCAAAAACATGTGGTGTGTGTGTGGTGATGTAGTGTTTGTGTTTGTGCTTGCGTGTGTTGTTGTGATATGTGTACACGTAAAAGCACGTCGAACCAACACGTAAAAACAACACGTAACAACACGTAAACACAACACGTACACCAGCATGTACAAATAACACGTGAAAGCGACACGTGGTGTGTGTGTGTGTGGTGTTGTAGTGTTTGTGTTCGTGTTTGTGTGAGTCGTTGTGATGTGTGTCCACGCCAAAACAACACGTAAACACATCACGTAAACACAACACGTAAAAAACAACACGTAAACACAACATGTAGAACAACACGTAAAACATTACGTGGTGTGTGTGTGGTAATGTAGTGTTTGTGCTAGTGTTTGCGTGTTGTACACGTAAAACAACGCGTAAACACAACACACCAAAACAACACGTGGTGTGTGTGTGTGTGGTGTTGTAGTGTTTGTGCTTGTGTTTGCGTGCGTTGTTGTGGTACGTGTACTCGTAAAAGCAACGCGTAAACACAACACGTAAACACATCACGTAGCGTGTGTGATTGCAGTGTTTGTGTTTGTATGTGTGTGTTGTTGTTGTGTGTGCGCGTGGACACAACACGTAAAACCAACACGTACAACAACGCGTGACAATCACACGTAAGAACAACACGTACAAACGACACGTACAAACAACAAGTGGTGTGTGTGGTGTTGTGGTGTTTGTGTTTGTGTTTGCGTGTGTCGTTGTGTTGTGGTATGTGGACACGTGAAACACAACACGTAAAAAAACGTCAAATTAACAAGTAAAACCAACACGTAAAATCAATACGTCAACCCAACACGTAAACACAACACGTACAAACAACGCGTGGTGTGTGTGTGTGTAGTGTTGCAATTTTTGTGTTTGCAACACGTACAAACAACGCGCGGTGGAAACAGCACGTAAAAACAACACGTGAAAACAATACGTGGCGTGTGTGCGTGTGTGTGTGTGTTAATGTCGTGTTTGTGTTTGTGTTTGTGTGTGTTTGTGGTGTGTGTACGCGTAAGAACACGTAAACACAACATGTAAGCGCAACACGTAAAAATGACACGTGAAAACCACACGTAAACACAACACGTAGCAATGAGGCGGGGGAGGAGGAGGAGGAGGAGGAGGAGGAGGAGGAGGAGGAGGAAGATGAGTTTGGGGCAGGCGCAGGACGAGGGGAGGGAGGAGGAGGAGGAGGAGGGGGAGGAAGAGGATCAGGAGGAGAGGGAGGAGGAGGAGGAGGAGGAGGAGGAGGATGCGGAGGAGGAAGGGGAGGAGGAGGAGGAGGAGGAGGAGGTGGTGGAGGAGGAGGGAGGGGCGAGACACACGTAAAAACAACACGTAAAAACAACACGTAAAAACATACGTGGTGTGCGTGAGTTGTTGTAGTGTTTGTGTTTGTGTTTATCTGTGTTGTTGTGGTGTGTGTGCACGTAAAAACAACAAGTAAACACAGGACGTAAACAACACGTAAAAACAACACGCAACAGCCAACACGTAAACACAACACGTGGTGTGTGTTTGGTGTTGTAGTGTTTGTGTTTGTGTTTGTGTGTGTTGTTGTGGTATGTGTACACGTTGAAACAACACGTAAACACAACACGTAGAAACAATACGGAAAGCCCGTACATAAAACAACACGTGAAACCAACACGTGTTGTGTTTTCGTGTTGTTGTTTGTGCACCACAACACCACGACACCACTCGCAAGCACAAACGCAAACATTACAGCACCACACACACCACGTATTGTTGTGACGTGTTGTATTACATGTTGATTTTACGTATTGTTTGTACGCGCTGTTTTTACGTTCACACACACACACCACACCAACACAAACACAAACACACGCACAACCACTACAGTAACACACACACACACCACGTGCTGTGTTACGTGATGTTCTTACGTATTATTTCACGTGTTGGTTTGACGTGTTGTGTTTACGTGTTGTTTTTTTCGTGGTTCCTCACCACTACACACACTTAGAACCATCCCAGTAACACGCACACATCACTTGTTGTTTTTACGTGTTCGTTTACGTATCGTTTTTACGTGTTGTTTTACATGTTGTGTTTACGTGTTGTTATTACGTGTACACACCACAAGAACACACACAAACACCAAACACGAGCACTACAGCACCACATACACACACCACGTATTGTTTTTACGTGTTGTTTTTACGTGTTGTTTCTACGTGGTGTGTTTGCGTGTTGTGTTTACGTGTTGTTTGAACGTGTTGTGTTACGTGTTAATGTTTTATGTGTTGTTGTTACGTGTTGTTTTTGCGTGTGCACACCACAACACATACACACAAACTTTACAGTACCACACACACACTACGTATTGTTTTCACGTGTTGTTTCTAGGTGTTATTTTTACGTGTTGGTTTTGCGTGTTGTGTTTACGTGTTGTTTGTAGGGTTTGTTTGTACGTATTGTTTTTACGTGTTGTTTTTACGTATACGCACACACCACAAAAACACACGCACCCACACCACAAGCACTACAGTAACGCACGCACCTCGTATTGTTTTTACGTGTTGCGTTTACGTGTTGTCTTCACGTTGTGTTGTTATTTTCGTGTGCCCACACAACACAAGAACACACACACACATTCAAACACAAACACTACAGTAACACACACACACCACGTATTGATTTTTCATGTTGTTTCTACGTGTTGGCGTTACGTGTTGTGTTTGCGTGCTGTTTTACGTGTTGTTTGCACGTGTTGTTTTCACGTGTTGTTTCTACGTGCTGTTTTTTTTACGCGCGCACACACCACAACAACACACACAAACACAACCGTTGCAGTAACACACACCACGTGTTGTTTTTACGTGTTGTGTTTACGTGTTGAGTTTCTCCTGTTGTTCTTACGTGATGTGTATACGTGTTTTTACTGGTTGTTCTGACGTGTACACACACAACAACACACGCAACCACAAGCACACGCACAAGCACTACAGCACCACGTACACACACCACGTGTTGTTTTTGCGTGTTGTTGTTCAGTGTTGCCTTTACGTGTTGTTTTGACGTGTTGTTTTTACGTGTTGTGTTTACGTGTTGGTTTTACGTATTGTGTTTACGTGTTGTTTTTACGTTTAGTTGTTACGTGTACACACACCGCAGCGACACACGCAAACACAAACGCAAGCATTACAGTAACACACACACACCTCGTATTGTTTTTACGTATTGTGTTTGCGTGTTGTGTTTCCGTATTGTTTTTACGTGTTGTGTTTACGTGTTGGTCTACGTATCGTCTTTATGTGTTTGTACGTGTACGCACACACGACAACAACACACGCAAATACAAACACAAGCATTACAGTAACGCGCACACCACGTATTGTTTTACGTTGTGCTTTTGCGTGTTGTGTTTGCGTGTTGTTGTTACGTGTTGTGTTTGCATGTTGTTTTTTTTACGCGAACGCACAACAGCACACTAACACAAACACAAACATTTACAGTGACACACACGCACCACGTATTGGTTTTACGTGTTGCTGGTGCGTCTTGTTTTTACGTGTTGGTTTTACGTGTGGTTTTTACGTGTTGTGTTTCCGTGCTATTTTTTTACGTTTTTGTTTTTAGGTGTTTTTTAAGTGCACACACGCGCTACAACAACACACACAAACGCAAACACAAACACTGCAGTAGCACACACGCCACGTATTGTTTTTACGTGTTGTTGTTACGTGTGTTTTTACGTGTTGCTTTTACGTATACGCACACACCACAAAAACATAGCAACCACAAACACAAGCACTACAGTAACACGCACACACCACGTATTGTTTTTACGTGTTGTTTTTACGTGTTGGTTTACGTGTTGTTTTACGCGTTGTGTTTACATGTGCGCACCACAACAACACACAAACACAGACACCAGCTCTACAGTAACACACACATCACGTATTGCTTTTACGTGTTGTGTTTACGTGATATTTTTATTTGTATGTTTTACGTGTTGTGTTTAAATATTGTTTTTACATGTTGTTTTTACGGGTTGTTTTCACGTGTTGATTTTCAGCGTACACACCACGACAACACACAAACACAAACACAACCATTACAGTACCACACGCGCACACCGTATATTTTGTTCGTCTTGCTTTTACGTGTTGTGTTTACGTGTTGGTTTTACGTGTTGTTTCTATGTGTTTTTGTTGCGTGTATTTTTTTACGTGTTGTTTTTACGTGTTGTGGTTACGTGTTGTTTTTACCTCTTGTTTTTTCGTGTACACACCACAACAATACACAAACACAAGCACAAACATTACAGTCACACACGCGCACACCACGTATTGTTTTTACGTGTTGTGTTTGCGTGTTGTGATTACGTGTTGTTTTTACGTGTTGTTTTTACGTGTTGTTTTAACGTGTTGTTTCTACGTCTTGTTTTTACGTGTGCACACACCAACAACACACAAACACAAGCACAATCATTCCAGTAGCATTGTTGTTACGTGTCGTTTTTACGTGCTGTTTTACGTGTTGTTTTTTACGTGATGTTTTTCGTGTTATTTTTGTTCGTGATGATTTCACGTGTTGTTTTACGTGTTGTTTTACGTGATGTTGTTGCACGTTGGTGTTACGTGTTGTTTTCACACCACAACAACACAAACACAAACGCAAACACTACATTAGTAAAAGCACACACGCACCACGTATTGCTTTTACGTGTTGTTTTTACGTGTTGCTTTGTTTTCTCACGATTCGATTTGTAACCCTTACAGTTTGGGTCATCTTGCGAAGAAGTACACGCACGAAGCCGACAAATGCACGAGGAATGGACGTCCGAGCGATGCCGAGCTCCCTTGCATCCGAGTCCTACGACTTCCCCCACGAAGGAGCTCGTGGTCTTCTCCGGCGAGTCCTCCGAGCGCAGCGGCGCCTCCCCGGCCGCCGGCTCCGCCTTCCTCGCGGCGGCCGTGGCGGTGTGCGCCGCCCTGCTGGCGTGAGCGCGGCCGGCCGCCGCGGGAGCTGCGGTGCCGCGGCGCTGCGCGGCAGGGAAAGGACCCCGAGTCCTTGTTCGATGTTTGGTCGCGGGGGGCCTTGGCAGGGCTCGTTTCGATTCCTCCGATTCGATTTGATTTCGATGGCCTCCGATTCCGATTCGATTCGATTTCGGATTCCGATTTGGATACCGATTCCTAAGGCCCACTAGCCTGCCGATTTCTGCCGATTCGACTTCTCCCGACTTGGCTGGCGATTTCTGCCGATCCGATTCATATCGATCGCCGGTCTGACTGATCGAATCGATTCTGGGCTCTCCTGTCTTGGACTCGGAGAATTACTCCGACGGTGGCCGTAGCCACTTTGGCTCAGGCCGTTCTGGCTCGGGGCCGGCGGGCCGGCCCGCGCGTCCGCGACTCCAAGGCCCGCCGCGCTGCCCCAACGCGATGTCGATACGCGTGGAGGTGTCGGGTGGCCCGGGCGGGGCTGTTCGAGTTTGCGGCGAGGACCGCCAGCTAGGTTTTGGGCGCCCGAATTGCGTACGGAAAAACATGGGTACAATGAGTGGCCAATTTTCCACCTCCACTACCATGTGTAGCACGGGGAGAAGGGAGGAGGGCTCCTCTCCTCCTCCTCTTCCTTCTCCTCCTCCCTCTCCTACCTATGGTAGTGGTGGTGGAAATCTGCCCATCATACAATGTCCAACAACAGATGTTGTTCCAAACCAACGGCGGCCGCTGTTGGGTAGGCGGCCTTCTGTTTCGAATGGACAGGCCGCGGCGACACCGACAGCGAGTCCTGTTCAAAATGGACAGGGACTGGTGTCGTTCGTTGTGCCCATTATTTCCGTACCCATTTCGATCGTCCCGATAGGTGAGTGGGAGCCTGCGAGGGCCTATCAGCTGACGCTGTCGGGCGATGCTTGGTCCGGAGAGCTGCCCCTGCCAGCGGGCGGCTCCGAGTTCAAGCTGGTCTCAGTGCAGGGCGAGGCCGTGCAGTGGGAGCCCCTCGGCGCGAACCGGAAGTGGCCAGAGGCGGGACTGGCCGACGGCAACACGTTCAAATTACGGTATGGCGAGCCGAGGATTCAGATAGACGTCTCGGCCAGCCACCAGGAGGCGAACGCGCGGGCGACGATCAAGAAGCTGGAGGAGAGGCAGGGCTCAGCGCTGCAAGCCAACGTGGACGCAAAGGGCGAGAATGCCTACTACCACGCCCACACCCGGCACTTTGAGGTGCCAGAGGACGCTAAGGTGATCACGGGCCCAGGCTTGATCACTGGGGGCAGGCCTGTGCTCATCGAGGCGGGTGCCGAGGCGGTGGACCCGGCGGCAAAGGATCGGACCGTCTGGTTGAAGGAGTATTCTTGGGCCGACACGAAGGCCAAGGTGAAGGTGTACGTCCCGGTCCCGGAGGGGCTGCTGCCGTCCGAGGGCTCGGACGCCATGGTGGAGACGGAGTTCAAGGCGCTCAACGTGGAGCTGACCGTGAAGTCGGCGCCGCAGCAGAGGCTGAGGCTCGAGAAGCTGCACGCAGAGCTCAAGACGGAAGCGTGCAGCGCGCGCGTGGAGCCGGGGAAGAACCGCATAGTGCTGCAGCTGGTGAAGCAGAAGGAGGTTACGTGGAGCGGACTGACGAAGTAACTCGCGCAGTGGCTCGCAATCCCACGTCGATTGCAGTGGGCTCGACACGTTGGATTTTGCATAAATCCGTTTCTCCGCCTCTCTCTTCGAGGGGGCTCTTGAATCACCTGTAGGTGGCGTTGGGCTTTGGAACATGCGGGGGTGCGGGGGAACTGGTGAGAATCGAGGATGAATATAATATGGGGCTTGGGACCAGGGGCGCTGGTTGTCTGTTTCAGCAGCATTTGTGGTAGGTGGTAGGCGCTCCTCTGCCGTGCCGATGTTTGCACTGCTCCCCTCGGTGGCCGTTCGTGCGATTTGTGATGCGGTGGCCATGTACAGCACACAGACTTCGAAGACCTGCTACGGGCTAGGGAGGAAAAAAGAATACTTCCTCCGACGGTGAGGCCGCACATGAGAATCTTCCCCAGTGGTTTTCCTCATTGTCGTCCTCGTGATAGTTGAGGCCCTCTTCCTGTCTCTCCCTCGCTCTTTCCTCCTCGCTCTGGCGGAAGCCTTCCCTTCCGCCCCTGCTCCCTCCTCCTCCTCCTCGTCCTCCTCCTCCTCCTCCTCCTCCTAGCCGTGCTGCCTCCACGAGCGTTTCAGGAGGTTGCGGACGCGTCGCTTCAGCGCGGCACCGCGCTCGCGGGCCACGAATGTTCAAGCCTTCGGCCGGCAGTTTGCCCTGCCGTGCCACTTTGTGAGCTCCTGGAGCAGTCCATGACAAGTGATGCGGGTGTGCTGGTGGGCCCTCGTCGCCCTGAGTGGACTTGCGGCAGGTGCGGCTCCACCCACAACAGGGCCAGCCGGATTCGCTGCAAGTGCGGAAGCCCGGCGCCTGCAGCCATCCGCCACCGCGCCTTCGATGCGCAGACGAAGGCTCCCGCTTAGGGAGGTGGTGGAGCTGGGCGCAAGAGCAAGGTTGACAAGGACACAACAGGGAGGCCTGAAGGGCCCGAGGGGTTGCAGCTGCTGCTGCGGACCCATCTCTTGTCCTTGTCCTTGTCCTCCTCATTCTCCTCCTCCTCCTCTTCCTCCTCCTCCTCCCTGGCATCTTTTTCATCCCCCTTCCTCCTCCTCTTCCTGCTATATCTCCTCTTCCTCCTGCCTTTTATTCTCGTGCGCCTCCTCTCCGGCCCGCTGCGGCGCGCCTTCCGACAGCCAAATCGCAAAGTCGTCGGGGCAACCCCGCGGGTCAGGTCATTGAGACAATTCCTGCGGGCCGCTGGGGCGCTAGATCAAGCCGCTGTGACAAAGGACGACCGTTACAATATCCTGATGACCCGTCCAGATTAATAACGCGATCCGGGGGGGACGTTTTTGAACATTCTGAACAATTCACTCACAGACGAGGCTCCCGCGTGAGATTCGCCACACATCCACGCCTCAGGAATCCTAGTTGACGACAGTTACAACATATGCATGACCCGCTCGGATTGCTAACCTGATCTGGCGGCCCCATGAGGAGGAGGCTTTCTCCAGATCCACGCGCAAGGAGCCCAAAGTGACCACTGTCACAGGATGTGGATGACCCGCTCGGATCATTAAAAAGATCTGGGGGCCCGATAGGGAAGGGGCTTCCTGCCTGAGGCCTGAGATTCACAGGCGAGGCTCCAGCTCGAGACTTCTCCCATATCCACGCATCAGGAGTTCAAAACGAACGGCAACCACAGGACATGGGTGACCCGCTCGGATTCCTAACGTGCTCTGGCAGGAGGCCCCATAAAGAGGGCGCTCCCAGTTGAAATTCCCCCACCACTCACTCATTCACGATGCTCCTGTTCGAGATGTCCCGCAAAACGGCGCCCCAGGAACCCGACGCCGATGGTTGTGGCAGTCGACGGACGATCCGCACGGATCTCTTGAGCTGGCGGCCGGATAGGGGGGGTCCCGCCTAACACATTTGTGCGGTTCTTTCACAAACGGGTTCCCCGCTCGAGGGTTTTTTCATATCGAACCGCGAACTGATCACATTTTCGGGATATGGATGGCCCGATCGGATTGCTAACATGACCCGGCGGCTCCATACGGAGGGGGTTCCCGCCGCAACTTTCCCTACATAGCACTCCACAAATGTAGTTCCCGCTCGAGTTTCCGTCCATCATCGCGCCCCAGGAACCCAATTTTGGCGACAGCCACGGGGCATGGATGACTCGTTCGGATTACGAACTTGATCTGGCGGCGGAGGGGGTTTTGCCGAGACTTCTCCACCATGCGCCCACTGACAAGGAGCGTTCCTCCAGATCCACGCCTCAAACGATCAAAACCAACGACAACCACATGATATGGATGACCCGTTCGGCTTACGAACATGATGCGGCGGCCCTGTAGGGAATAGGCTCCCGCTTGAGACTTCTTCGCAGTTCACTCACAGACGAGGCTCCCGGGAGACGTCCTCCAGATCCACGCGTCGGAGCCCAAAAGTGACCACGGTTACAGGATGTGGATGACCCAATCGGATCATTCACGTGATTTGGGGGCCCGATCGGGAGGGGTTTCCCGCCTGAGGCCTGAGACTCACAGGCGAGGCTCCAGCTCGAGACTTCTTCCATATCCACCCAGCAGGAGTTCAAAACGAACGACAGCCACAGGATATGGATGACCCGCTCGGATTACGAACATGATCTGACGGCCCTATAGGGAAGGGGCTTCCGTATGAGATTTCCTCGCCCGCTGAATGCTTCCGCTGGCTCCCGCTCGAGATTTCCACCAGAGCCAGGTTCAGGAACCCAAAGTTGACGACGGTTTCGGGATATGGATGACCCGCTCGGATTGCTAACCCTTGCGGCCCCTACAGGGAGGGGGTTCCCGCCTGCGACTACCCCAACATTCACTCGCAGACGAGGCTCCCGAACGAGCATCCTCCAGACCCACGCTTCAGGAACCCAAAACCGACGACAGTTCCGGGGCGTGGATGCCCCGTTCTGGTTGCGAACGTAATCTGGCGGCCCCAAGGGGGAGGGTTTTTTTTGCCGAGATTTCTTCGCAACGCACTCACAGACGAGGCTTCAGTTCGAGAGTTCCTCCAGATCCACGCCTCAGGAGCTCAAAACGAAGGACAGCCACAGGATATGGATGACCCGCCCGGTTTACTAACATGATCTGGCGGCCCCAAAGGGAGGGGGGATTTGGCTTGAGATTCTCCCGCAAGTCTGTCACAGACGAGGCTCCCGCTCGAGAGTTCCTCCAGATTCACGCCTCAGGAATTCAAAACGATAGACAGCCACAGGATATGGATCGCCCGGTCGGATTGCTGTCACTCACGCATGAGGTTCCCGCTCGACATTTTCTCCAGATCCTGTCTCAGGATCCCAACACAGCGACAACAGTTACAGTAGATGGATGACCCGCTCGGATTACGACTACGAATTGGCGGCCCCGCA